GTATCAGCAAGTTGAACAATGATTAAGAATAACAGAAGAATTGATGCTAATTATGGTGCTGGAGAAGAGTCTTGAACATACCATGAACCATCAAGACAACAAACAGGTCTGTTTGTTTGAACAGGGTGAAACCAAGCTCCTCTTTGGAGGGAAGGAATTTGAAGCTGCATCTCACATACTTTGGGCATGTGGCCAGGAGGGACCAGTCCTTGGAGAAGGCCATCACACTTTGAAGGGTAGAGGGACAGTGCAAGAAAGGAAGACCCTGGATGAGATAGAATGACACAATAACTGGGATAATGGGTGTAAGTGAGTCTGAGACAGAGAAACTGTCTCAGAATAGGACAGAGTTCAGAGCTATTGTGCATAGGGTTGCTATGAGTCGCAAGTGAATTGATGGTACTACATGACAACAAGTAATTTTTTTAATGTTTTAGTTCACTCTTGAAATAGAATCTTCTTCATGTTTACATTTCAATCTATTGTCATTATGTTGATCAAAACCATACTGATTAATTGTAGAGATGCTTCATTTCATGTAATACTTAAAGAGGTATTTTATACCTACAATGATTCATTTTATTATTTATTAAAGTCATTCAGTCATCAATGTCTATAATTTTGTCACTCTGACTTCCCAGTAATTTTCCTCTTTATCCTTTGACATTATACACTTTTCTATTGCTTGTTTGTTTTCAATTTGTATTTCAAATCTCACATTGCTTTTTAAGCTTACTTATTTTCCTTTCTTATTTAGAATCATTCCATTTGCATCTCTGCCTTTGTGTCTGTCTTTTTATTAGTGTCAGCATCTGCTTCATAGGAAGTTCTTTTTCACCTCCTTTCTTTTTTTCTCTCTTTATTTTGATAACACCACGCAAACATCATACAAAACCTCTCATTTATAGGCAATCTCCTGTATCTAAGCCTTTTAATTTATGCTTTCCTCTTGATACAGGAAGAAATATATTCAGCCCCACCTTTTCACAATACATGGATAGGGTGGAGTTTATTTGGCTCCTCATATTTGCAATTTCAATTCTAATAGACTTCTGCTTTTCAGAGGTAAACTCAAGGTCAGCAGCTTCTAGTTTTGTCTTGGTCTACTGAACTGGGGATGTATCTTGTCTGTCTTAAATGGTTCACTGACTCAGAAAGAGCCCACTGACGTTTAAAGGCCTTATTTAAACAATGAAAAAGCATTCTCCTATGTATGCACTGCTGCTAGAACATCTCATATGATGGGTGACTAAGGATAGTATGATGTAATGTATTTCTACCATTTTCCATGTTTGAACTCTAAACTGTGATGTCTACATGACAAGGAAGAAAAATAGGATACTGATGTGCAGCAGAGTACAGAATACTTTCCTTTATGCTGCAACTACCACAAAATAAATAAGTCCGTTATTGTGCTGTCAAGTTGGATCCACCTCATAGCTGGCCCTCCACCAGGTTCTCAGAGACAGTAAAATCACATGGGAAGAGAGAGCCCATATTCCTCATTCAGATTTTTTAATTCAAACTGTGTGCACCTGGATTGGTAGTGCAGCTCTTTACCACTGGGTCACCAGAGCGCCAAATAAGTTAATAGGAACTATTCTTATAATGGCAGAACGAATTCTGCACTCACTACACTATTCCTAAGTCAGTGGTCTTCCTGTTCCAGACTCAATATTTAGGATAATAATGATGAAAATGAATAGCCAGTTCCTACTAAAGCTCATTAAACATGCTTTCAACTTGTGACATCAGAGCAAGGAGACATCTCAATGCCTAGGGTTTTCCAAATTAGTTAGAAGAGATCTAATAGAACATTGTACAATTATACTAGCATGTTTCAACTTTTAAATTATTTACTGTTAGAAAGCTAATTCAGTAATGTTCTTAGAGAAAAACTAAACAAAACAAAAGCTAACATTCAATTTTTATGCACAATCTTCAAGATGTTAATGAAAATAAATCAGAAAATCAAACCATTCCCAAAATTATATTCCTTTACATAAAAGTATGCTGGGACCTTGCCTGTTAGAGATGCTGCACTGCCGTGACCAGAAGAGACTGCCGTGACCAGAAGAGCAGATCATTGCTTCACTTTCTTCCCAATCTCTAAAATAATGCTGCTAAACTGTTTTGTAAACTATGCTTATACCCTTGCAAACAATTTAAGTGAACACATAAATCAACAATCCACTCTAACAATAATACATATAAAGATAAGAGTTCCTTATTAAGACTTTTAAAAATGTTGATACAGAGATAGCATTGTCTTTTTAAAAATTTTTATTCACTCTTTTTTGTACATTTTCTTCCTTCCCCTTCTCTTCTCCCTGCCCAGTCCACTTTGCAATGCACCCCTTTAAAAAAAAAACCAACAACTGAATATTTTCTTTTCCCCCCTTCTTCCTTTTTTTATTATTTCGTGTGTGTGTGTGTGTGTGTGTGTGTACCATCAAATCGAATCTGACTGGTACAGAAGGAGATTTTCCCTCCTTCTCCAGCAGAGCATCTGGTGGATCTGAACTGCTCACCTCTGGGGTTGCAGCATAGCTTCTTGCTACTAGGCCACCAGAGCTCGCCGCAATGCACGTTTTGTTCCAAATTGTTTTCATACGTATAATACCTAATCATATATTCCTTCTGGACTCTTCTTCCCCTCATCTGTTCCAATGCAGTGTTCATTATCTATCCAATCGTTTCTTATTCTCCTCCCAACACTCCACAGCAGTCTGACCTTATAACAATGGTGTTATGCAGTATTTATCCTTCTGTGACTGAGATATTTTACTTAGCATAATGTCTTCCAGGCTCACCCATGTTGTTTAATCTTTAATGAGTTCATTGTTTTCCAGTGCTGCATAATATTCTGTTATGTGAATGTGCGACAGTTTTGTTATCCATTTGTTTGTTGATGGGCATTCGTGTTGCTTCCATCTCTTTGTTATTGTGAATACCACACCAGTAAACATGGTACACATACATCTGTTTGAATTGCAGCGTCGGTTTCTTTAGGGTATATTGTCAGTAGTAGAATTGCTGGCTCAAATGATATTTCTATTTCCAACTTTTTCAGAGAGTGCCAGACTACCTTTCATAGTGGTTGTAGCATTTTACATTTCCACTAGCAGTGAATTAGAGTTCCAATTCTTCCACAACTTCACCAGCATTTATTGTTTGCTACCTTGTTCATCTTTGTTATTATTGCTGGGGTGAAATGATATCTCATAGTTGTTTTGATTTGCATCTCTCTCCTAGCTATTGGGAATCCAGAAATCAGTTCATCTACCTATAATCAGCTGATTTTTGAGAAAGAGATGATATCAGTTAAATAGTGAAATGACAGCCTCTTTAACAAATAGTTTTGGCAAAAATGAAAAACTCTCCCACCATATACAAAAACCAACTGTAACTGGATCAGGGTCCTCAGAGTAAAAACCATAAAATTCATCAGAGAAAAGCTAGAAACATATCTAGAAGCCCTAATACACAGCATGAATAGACTTCCAAGTGAAATGGGGGGGGAAGGAACACAACCAGGAGAGAATAAAATAGATAAATAGGACCTTATAAGAATCATATCCCTATTGTTGTTGTAGTTATATACCATCGAGTCATCTGTGACTCATAGCAACCCCATGTACAACTGTTCTGAACTCTGTCCCATCCTGAACCAATTTCACTGCCTCCACACACCTACCCCCATTATCCAGTCACTGAGGCAATCCATCTCACCCAGCGTCTTCCTCTCTTGAGCTTTCCTTACATGCCTCCAAGCAAGATATCCCTCTCTAAGGACTGATTCCTTCTGGCAACATACCCAAAGTATGTGAGATGGGGCTTCAAAATCCTTGCTTCCAAGAGGCAGCTCAGTTTCACCCTCTCCAAGACAGAACTGTTAGCTCTCTTGGCACTCAAAGATATGTTCAATACTCTTCTCCAACCCCTACAACTCAAAGGCATCAATTCTTCTATCATCCTTAGTCATTGTCCATCTCTCTGATGCATACAGAGTAATAGCAAAGACCATGGCTTGAATCATGCTCATTTTAGTCTCTAGATTGACATTATTGTTCTCCAATACTCTGGAGAGGGCAGCAGATTTTCCCAATGCAATTTATCTTTTATTGCCCGACTGCTGGTGCCAAAAGTGTTGGTTGTGGAGCTAAGTAATCTGTACTTGTTAACACCTTTAATCTCTTCACCTTCTATCATTGCACTGCCAGTTGGCCCAGTGGTAAGAATCTTTGTTTTCCTGATATTGAGCTTCAATCCCTGTTGACAAATGCAGTCCCTGACTTTCTGCAGAAAATCCCTATCACACTAAAAACCTTCTCCAATATGGTAAAAAGAGAAAAAAAAAAAAAAGAAAAAAAAGCCACAGACTGGGAAAAAAATATTTGGCAATGACATATCTGATAAGAGACTTCATATCTAAAATTTATAGAGTACTCCAGCACCTCAACAAGAAAAAGGTATACAACTCAATCACAAAACAGACACTTCACCAAAGAAGACATTCAGATAAAAAAAAGCATCATATGGAAATGCAATTAAAAACAGAATTATCGGGACAAAAATAGAGAAATAGAGTGGAAGAGAAGAAATGGCTTTTGAAAGGATAAGGGATGATAAATTGACTGGTTATATTTGTACCTCAGAGTTATATTTGTTGTCGCAATGGTGCAAAATGCGTAGAAACTTGACTACTAGCTGAAAAAACAGTTCCTGTCTAGTTGATTCCTACTCACAACAACCCCAGGTTTGTCTCGAGTAGAAATATGTGAGTAGAAATAGGATTTCCTGCAGCTGATTTTGCACAGATGAAGACTCAAACTCCCGCACTTTTAGTTAACAGCTTCAAATGTTAATTGTTTGCAGCTCTTCTGGAGTGGGGGCACTCCTATTCTAGAAATAGCTCACAATATAATACATTCTGTCTTTTCTCTCAAAAATCTCTCAAATTAGTCATATTTCTGGTGTCCTATGTTTATCGTTAACAGCTCTTCAAGACCTACAAGGTGACGTCGAATATTACACACTTTTCTGGAGTTCTGCTACCTCCAATGAGTCTCTGAAAATCCTCCCTGATGTAAACTCCCATATCATTGGAAACTTAAATCCAAACACAGAGTACTGGATTTTTCTCTCTGTCTTCAATGGCGTCCACAGCATCAATAGTGAAGTTCTGCACGCAGTCACTTGTGATGGGGGTGAGTCCAGATTTTAAGGCATGCTCAGCTTCAGAGATGCTAATGAAATTGATTCATTCTTGTCAGGGTGAGATCACTGGTTCTCCATTATATAATTTCCGGTGTTGGGGGAGAGGGGTCTGGGCTAAAATGCTTAAGTGCTCACTGTCATCAAGTGGCCAATCAATAAGTGGTCCCATTGAGACAGCAGCCCAAGCATCTAATAATGGGATATTAGCCTAGTTTGCTCCTATTCTTATCAGTAGATCCTTAGCTTGGAGGTGAGTTTGCAACAATAAATGACAATGTTTTGAAAAGCCTTCTTTTTTAAAAAAAGACTTACTCTGAAGCAGTATACCTTTCAAAATGACAGCCAAGCATAATGAGGACCCTCCCTGAGTCACCAACAATCATAGGTGGAAGTTCAGTCACTGAGAAAAACTGCCTCTGACTCATTTCTAAGCCAGTTAGCAAAGGGGCAGAAGCAGGAGAAGCAACTTGTGAATCTGAAATGTATTTGGAATGGTTTTTTTAATCTTTTTGGCTTTATAAAATCTCATTATAAACATTATAATATCATTACCTCCCAAGCAAGTGTTCCAGGTCATTAGCAGAGCACTTTAAGTGTGGAGCCCATTTCCCTTTGTGGTGGCAAAGGTCAGCACCTTTTGTTTATAAAATAGAATAGATTACAAGGACAATCTTTCAACTAGTTAAGATAGTTTCTTATGATAAAAATAGGTTTTTGCATAGTTATTTCTGACATGCTTGAATAATTGTGTAATTTAACGCTAAGGAAGATTTTTTTTCTATTGTTAGATTTCATCATTACCTATGGTAATCAACATTCAAAATCATTTACATAATGACAATATTGCAGTATTGCTTCATATTGCTTGAGTTACAAGCTAGTAACATCAAATGATTTTTCACGTTCCACCAGCCTCAATGTATTTGAGTTTTATATTTTACTTAAGGAGCAATATTCCCCCTCCTTCCTCTTTTTTTTTTTTCCTCTGGGAGGTATGGAGTAAAGGGAGAGGGAAGAGACAAATAGTTGATATGTGTTAATGATACAGATGGGTGGCTAATTTATCATCATATCCCACTGATCACAGAGCATTGAAAATTAACACTATGCTGGTGGTATAAAGCATTTTACCACCAATTCTTATGGTTTCTAACTGAGAGTATAATAAGCCAATTTACAGAGGACTGCAGACTGTGATAACTTCATCAGAGGAAAGCAGATAAGCAGCGAACCCTTTGTGAAACCTAAATATGGGTCTGCGTTGAGTTTAACAAGTGCTTTCTCAGAGACAGCTGGAGTTGATTCTGTTTCTTCCTCTAATTCTAGAGCCTCAGGGCATGCTTCCTCCAGAGGTTGTCATCATCAACAGTACAGCTGTACATGTCATCTGGACATCTCCTTCCAACCCAAATGGTGTTGTCACTGAGTATTCCATCTATGTAAATAATAAGCTCTACAAGGCTGGAATGAATGTGCCTGAGTTGTTCCTTCTCAGAGACCTATCTCCCTTCACTGTTTATGACATTCAGGTTAGAGCACTTGCTATTTGGGGGCTGGGGTGGATGGGTAAGCTTACAGGTATGTTAAATAAAACATGCTTGGTGACTTCTCTAAATAGAAATTTCCACCTTGGTTACAGATTATTTACTTGGTGGGGCAGGGAAAAGAGAGAAGAGAAAAATTGACTAGGATTTAGTCTGTTTGCTGTAGCTAAATACATGGGTCTCTAGAAAAGATAATGATAATAAGGAAAATGATAGTGGTGAAAAGGGTGATGATATTCTAACAGGCAAAATGAAACAAATCACACGTTCAAAATAAATCTCGCTCAACAGTTATCTCTCCCCATTCTCCTCCACTTATTGTTGTTCCATATATTGTTATTAGAATCAGCCTAGCAATGTGGGAAAATTCTTTCTGCCACATACAAATTGAATAATTTCAGGGAAGTATTATAAATCCTATCTGGTCTTAGGTTCCTCTTTTGTAAAATGAATTGACTAGGCAACTTGAAAACTTTCCACCACTGCTAATATTCTGTAGTTTTAAATGGAACATGAAAACATAAATGGATATCTATCAAGCAAACAAATATTAAAGGTTTTTTGTTTTGTTTTTTTTTAATATTAAAGATTTTCAAGGATAAAAAACAAATATCCACTCATTGTTAGACAAATGTTCAATGACTCTAACCTGTGTAGGTGTAGTTGTATTAAACTCATTTGCCCTTGAGCATCTTTGAAACTGTGATGAAGTCAATGCACCTTGCCCTAGAAAACATATTTATGTACTTACATGACAAAATATAGCGTGTAATATCAAAGAATCTATTCACCATCTGAGACTCACTTAATGGACCTCTACAAGATCTATTGACCTTAAGAGTAGAAAAAAAATAGAGAATAATAATGCATATAAGACAAGAAATTTATCCTCAAGAAATTGGGAATCTTGTTAGAGTGCTAAAACAGACAACAAGGTCACAGGTGCAAATGAGTGATGACAGGACAGTCTTTCAGAAGCTTGATGTTTATCAAGAAGGGTTACAGTATAGTATTTTTTTAACTGCTACTCCTAAAATTTGTATTAATTTTTCCATGAAGAATTTTGTAAAGACATTTCCAAAGTATATTAAAGCACAGAAATTTTACTTAAGCACAAAAATTGTTTGCCAACTCTTTCATGATGTTCTTTCCCCCGCATTTAAAAATAAAACATATGAGGAGCAGGGAGTCATGAGGACCCCCTGGCTTATTGCCTTGGCCCCACGTGAGAAGTAAGGCTGAGTGAAGAGACTAGCCAATCAGAAACATAGAGAGTATTGTGGATTTCTGAGTTTGTGGCGGATATCCATTTTGACCTAGCCACGAATGTTTGGAAATGAGTTGACCAGAATCCAAACAGATGGGAGGGGGAAAAAAATGATCCATGCTTTGAGCTGGTGTTAATTGCTGTAGCCTAGTGACTTACTCTGAACTAAATTTTGCTTATAGAGGCAAATGCTCAAAGTTTCAAAACTGAACAGAAGAATCTTCAGCAAATGTTGTTGTTAAGTGCTGTGGAGTTGTAGGCAACTCATAGCATGCATGCTAATCCCCTCAAAGTACTGATTTAATGCTGTTTTTGTGTACTGTCGAGTTGGAACCAACCCATAGCTAACCCTCCAGCGGGTTTTTAGAGGCAGTTAATTACACAGGCAAAGATTGCCCATACTTCTTCCATGGAGCAGCTGTAGCATTTAAATCACATGCCTTTGGGATTACAGCATAGCTTATTGTCACTAGGCCACTGGTATAATAGGGATGGGCAAAACGGAAATTGGCTCTCTAAAATGAGGATAGTACGGCATGAGGCATGGAATAGCTGGCTTACATACTTTCATGCATGTAGTTATTAATAATTAGAAGGGGGAACACAATATACATGAATAAAATATGTAAATTAAAGATTATATAACGTACATGTATGAAGCACAATGTATATGAATGATTGTATGTAAACCAATATAAATGTGTAAAAATGAAAATAAAAGGTGAAACATGCATAATTATGTCATTAAAATGAATGCTTTAGCCTCTTCCATTATTACCCATAGTACTGTCTTTATAAGAATCCATGTAAAAAGATTTGTGATTGAAATGGAAAAAAAATATTTACTTTTTTTTTTACTACATTCCATGATTTTCATTAACCCACTCAAGTTACCTTAAAAAACCTTAACTATTCTTCCACAATCAAATTCACTGCTCATAGTGAACCTGAATTGCAGAACAGAACTGCCTCCCAAATCCATAAATCTTTTGGAAAACATACTGCCACATCTTTCTTATTTGAAGTAGTTTGTACACTTAAACTGTCAATCTTTCACTTAGCAACTAAATGCTCCAAACACTGTGTCATCAGGACTGTTTTTACTGATCTTAGCATGGGATGTATAGATTAAAGCTTAAGTCAATTGTTCTTGGGACAAATTCATGTGGGGGTGCATTGACCACAGATAATATTACAAAATAATAATTACACTCAAAACTATTAGACACAAAGTTTTGTGAACAGGGTAGCAGAGGAAGAGATGGAGAATTTTCTGTATTACCCTCTTTAAAGGGTCCTACGGAGAAAACGGACTCAGCTCTCAACACCAGCTAATTTATTGACTTTCCTGTTGTTCTTTGTTGCTATCGGTGCCATCAAGACCATTCTGATTTCTGAGGAGCCCATGCCATTTTACTAGGGCCAGGTTCACTTGATGTGGTGCCAGCATGTCCAGCTCATTTTCTAACCAAGTAGCAAAATTTGCTTTTTAATATTGTTCCAAATTCGTGCTAGTATAATAATAAGCTTCATTGATACTTACCAGTTTGAGCCAGTGGTAGAAGTTTTATCAAACTCAGAACGTGAAAACAGATGAGGAGACAAGAGACCAAATTTGCATTTAGTACAGTAATTTTATTGTTTGTGGTTAAGTAATTACTGTTCCTAACTATACTATTGAGAACCCTTTTGCATTTGAATTCTACATTTAAAATAGCTATTGCATTTGTGGAAAATTGATTGTCAAAATTCAATTATTTCTTTATGCTATGAAAGAATTTTATTTTGTTAAAAATATTCATTTGGTTGTAATGTCAACTGCTTTAAATGAAGGATCTGTATTTTAACTACCTCTGTGAAAGAAAAAGGGACCGGCTGGTGTGCTAGGTTATGCATTACAGTTTCATCAACCTTATGAAGTAATTCTACTGTGCTGTGTGAATTAAAGTTAACTCAGTGAAGTAACTCAGTCCCACATGGACAAATACTGTATAAAACCATTATTGTAGAATGAGTGTGAGGATCCAAGTGTGGGGGAAAGACAGTGGAAATAGAGGGGTGAGGATGGGTGGAGGGGTGGTGTGTTAATCATAGGGTTGCACAATTCGATGGATGAGTAGGGTGAAGGAAATGGGAAGGATCTTTTGTGGAAAAACAATACATTGATATATTCAAACTTTGTAAATAAATAAAAATAAAATTAAAAATATGTGTAAAAAATAAATTAATAGTAGTGAGGATTTGTTTTGGTTTCTATAAAAGAGCTATTAGTTTAAATTAGATACATGTTGTTGTTGTTGCTGTTATGTGCCATTGAGTCTCCTAAGACTCATAGTGACCCTATGTACAACAGCCCTAAACCCTACTCTATCCCTTGCCAACCTTATTGTCTCTGACACACCTACCCCCATTACCCCAGTCACTGAATCAATCCATCTCATTGAAGATCTTCCTCTCCTGCACTGTCCTTCCAACCTACCAAGCATGACGTCCCTCTCCAGGGACTGATCCCTCCTTGCAACATGTCCAAAGTATATCAGAAGAAGCTTCAGAATCCTTGACTCCAAGGAGCAGCCTGGCTTCACCCTCTCCAGGACAAACTAGTTTATTCTCCTAGCAGTCCATGGAATATTCAATACTCTTCTCCAGCACCAAAGCACAAAGGCATCGACTCTCTTCCTATCATCCCGAGTCACTGTACAGCTCTCTGATACATAGAAAGTAATTACAAAGACCATGGCCTGTATCAGGCACACCTTAGTCTCCAGACTGACATGGTTGCTCCTCAATACCTTGGAGAGCTCTCGGACAGCAGATTTTCCCAATGCAATTCATATTTTAATTTTCTGGCTGCTGGTACCAAGAGTGTTAATTATAGAGCCAAGTAAACTGAAGCTGTCAACAATCTCAATCTCTTCACCATCCATCATGATGATGCCCCCAAATACCTACTATTAAAATAAATCCATTTACAAATTTTAAGGAGATCAAGGATGTTGATTCTATTTTCTTTCATTTCTCTTTAATGGGAAAAATGCTTAATAGTAGATAGAACTACATGGTGTAAGCCACAATTTAGTTCTCTCAAAAGTTACTAACTTGATCATTGGCCCTGTTTTCTCTAAGCTCCATTTGCAGTATTAAGAAGACAGAGTTTTGAAAGCTCATTAAAATGAGCACTCACCAGAATATTTGGCACCTATTTGGTGCAGAGTACATTCTATTGAGTTGATTGTGAATAATCTTATTGTGCATCATATTTCTAATATATATATAGTGTTTTCTTTTTCTTAGTTGTATAGTATACAACTTAGTTGTCAGTTCATGCTCATCTGCCTTTACATTGTTGTTATTGTTAGATGCTATTGACTCCAGCTTATAGAAACCCTATTTACAAAAGAACTGGCTATATTCAGAGGAAACAGTATCAATGAAGTTAAGTATTTACAAAAATATTATCTAAAAATACTGAAAACTATGTCATTTTCACCCTTAAACAGCAATATAAAAATATGTCTCCACTCCAATATAGGTGCAAACTGTCCTGTAAATAAATTGCCACATCTATAAATACACACAATAAGCCTCACATTAGTCTTTCCTTAAATGCTAGTGAAGCAAGAGAACTACTTTACTCAAGAGTTCACTATTAGTACTTAAGATTCACAGTGTCTAGCTTTCCTCTTCCATTTATGTATTAGAGGCCGAAAGTAGAGAGCACTGGAAAAAGTACAATTCCTCTTTGGGTTATAGCCTTTAATTGAGAGGAGAATGATACACCATTGAGATGATCCGCTAGCAATCTTTTGTAGGTCCATTTGTCTCCTCTCCCTCTTGCCAAGTGTGTACTTTTCGTATTACTAATGTTTGATAAACCACATTCCTGATCTTTAGTTATTCCACCCACCTTAGTCTTTATTCAGATTAGGTGGCAGAATTAAAAGAGTGAGTGATGATTTTCCACTGTGATTAAGGCAAAACCACAATTGCAGCGGGAACAAATGAAGATAAAATAGCTCAGCCATCCTGGAAGGCTTCTCTAGGCCTCATTTTTCTTCCATTATACATTAGCATTTAGGCTATTTGTTGTAGTGTCAAGACTTCCAGAAGATATCATCATTACACCACTTGGTTATAGATCTGAGGAGCGCTATACAGTGATAACCTATTATGCTTGCAAACTGCCACCTTGATACCTTCCGTTGCTTGACTATGTGCCGAGTAGATTAATATGTCTGTCTTTTTCTGAATGGTTGGAACCAGAGACCAAGCCTCACCAGGTTAGTCACTAAATCAATTGTCCTGAGACAAATCATGCACTCTACTCTGAACCTGTCCCACTGGAGTCAATTAACATCAAAAAATGAGTATTTATTAAATCCCAAGAGGATCTAGAGCAGAGGGAGACATTCATATGAAAAGAGGGTGGATGGGATTCAGAACATTTTCAGTCTGCATTGTAAAAATGGCTGGACTTACTGATTGCTGAACTAACGTTTGCAGGTGGAAGCCTGCACAAAGTACGCCTGCGTGAAGAGCAACAGAACCCAAGTCACCACGGTGGAAGACACTCCCAACGAAGTGGCCACACCTACAATTCGGAACATTACGTCAAGGTACAAATTTCTATGTAAACAATTCTGCTCATAAACAATGAAAATTAAAAAAAAAACCAAACAGTGTTATTTGCCTCACCAGGCAACCTAATATAATGAGCTGCTTTAAATATATGTGTAAATAAAGATTTGTATGTTATTGCCCAAGTGCCAGTTCTTCACTGGCCAGATTCCCTATACATTTAAGCATTGCTTTCCCCCACTGCTCACCCTCACTTTCCACTATTTAGCAATCTATGAACAAATACTTAACAGGACTAAAGAGCCTTTGTATTTAAATGTGTCCTTCAGGGAATCCTTCTGTGAAGGAAGGAACACAATTTTAATTAGAATGACTACATTCTAACTTAATCTCTAGAGGGGGGGAAATAGATTTACATATATCAGATTGCCCTAAAGCTAGAAATACCTGTAAAATAAATAGGAAAGATAATCTTTGAATCAACATTATCAATTTTGTGAGAATCCCTTTATTTTGAAAATTTTTTGTTTGCTGAAAAAATGACCCTGTTTTTAAAGCAAGTCCCTTTACAATTAAAAATTAGCAGTAAAAATAAATGTAATGTCTTATTTCCCAAGCTAAAAATGTGATAACTATTTATTCTTCAATAACAAGTTGAGGCAAGAGAATGAAATCTGAGTTCTTCCACATTCTACTTCTGCCCTCACCAAATAAATCACTTCACACACACACACACACACACACACACACACACGCACACACACACACACATTAAAACACTAAAAATAATTCAAATCTGAAGGACACTTTTGCCCCATACTGAAATTTAAAAAGTGTTTTGAATGGTAAAATGTTACTGTACTGATTTTAGAGAATAGTGATTAAAATAATCAAAACCAAGGAATGAGGACCTTAGTTGTTTTGGATAAAATAGTATGTCATCTTCTTAAATATATTTTTTATTGAACACATGATAGGTGAATCTTGGTGTTCTACCTAACCAATAATCTCATAAACTGGTTCATCATCACCTATCCACAATGTAAAAGACAGACGTGATACGGGGATGTACAATACATGGCTCCTTCTAGGTTTTGCAAACTCTAGCCTACTGTGGGAGGCCCACACCTAAGCACATAATAATAATAAAGTCATGTGAAAATTTAAAAAAATTCTTTATAGATATGCAATGTCCGAGTAGAGTGTGAATGGAAAGATAGCAAACACTATCCAGGATTAACTGTGAGATTTCATGGATGATGTAACATTTGAGCTCAGTCTTGAAGAACTCAGAAAGAATTATGCTTGAGTGAGTGTATATTAGAGGTTTCCTGGTAGTGAAGTGACTAAATCACTTGGCTGCTAAGGTTAGAAGTTCAAACCCCTCTATCCCAAAGTAGAAAGATGTGGTATTCTGTTTCCTTAAATACTTCTGGCCTTGGACACTATGAGAAATTTCTACTGTGTCCTACAGGACAACTTCGCATCAGAATCAACTCTATGGCAGTGATATTTTAGATTGAGTAGATGGTGTCAGATTTCATATCTGTAGCAGCCTCATGACTCAAGCCCAGGAGATAGCACAAGAGTCTATCTTTTTCTCTCAAAAAATGCAAACTTATTTCTATATAGTTAGGAATGACCCATAGCTGACTCTCTAGTGGGTTTTCAGAGCCTGTAAGTCACGGGGGAGGAGATTACCCAGACTTTTCCCCAGAGCCACTGGTGGATTCAAACCAATGAGAAGCATAGCCTTTGGGTTAGCCTTTGAGTTGACTCTGATGATTTGAGTTGATTCCTTTTGTAAAGATTAACAGCTCCAGAAACCTCAATGGAGTGTTGTGTTGCATTAGAGTTAGCTAGATGGTAATGGATTTGTGCTTGCAAAGGAGGATAATAACATGAATCAAGTTAATTTTCTCTACAGAGACCCCGAGAGAATGAACACTAAGAACTGTTAAGAACTTTTAATAGCAAGGAGATGTGAACATGGCTGAACATCTGAAAATAAGTCACTGAAACTCAAAGTTCTCTACCATTACCCTAATGTATCCAAGTGTTTTATTTTCTCACAGCCAAAATCCTTTCATTATGATGTCTGAAGTTTATTTTCTGGAAAAGAGAAACCAGAGGCATATCAGAATTTGGATTACATAGTAAGATGATAGGATGAGAGAGATAAAGTGGTAAAAAGAGTAGTAAAGTAAAAACTGCACCCTATATATAAATATATATATATAAATATTGAAAGCTTCAACTTCATTTCATGTTCTACTTTTTTCTAATAAATTATAAATGCCTTCAGGCAGGAAATTAGACATTCTTTTCTAGAAAAGCTTATAGATACTAGTATACGGTGATCTACTAAGAGACAAACACTTGTCACATGGTCACCCTGTAGGAAGTATAATCACCAAGCTCACTTTCTCCAGAAAGCTTCTGGTTGGTTTGGTGTGCATCGCTGTTCAAGGTAAAATAACCATATTCACTGTTATCCAATCAGTTCTGACTCATAGTGACTCTCTAGCAAGTTTCTGAGGCTATAAATCTTTAAGGGAAGAGACTGTCCAGAGAAAAAGTGAATGAAAAAGCTATAGTACTTCAAAGTATCCAGCCAACCAAAACAGAATACATTAAAAAATAAATAAATAAATAAAATAAAGGCTCAAAGGGGTAAATAAGCCAAAAATGTCTGGAAATTAAAACTTGGAGTTGAAATTTGAGGAGATGTCCCTGAACACATATTAAAAATGAAAGATGTTTTTATTAAAAAGGAGGCATCCTAATTTAGAAAAATCGAGAAAGTGCAATATTTTAATAATACAAGTTTTAGAAAAGAGAGTGAGAGAGCATAGGAGAAAAGAGGGGAAATTATCAAAGATATGTGATAATAAAACATTCCAGGACCAAAACCACTGGTCTGAAAATTCAGAGTCCACAAATACCAAGACAATGGAAGAAAAATAGAACTACATAAAGATATATTATCAGAACATTTCAGGATTAGAAAGCATATTCAAGAGAATTTCAAGAATAGAAGATGGATCCTGTACATGGTGCATGGGTGATTTGAATGGAATCAGCAATATTCATGGCAAAAAGACAATGCCAGACAAAGCTTCAGAACCTTGCCTCCAAGGAGCAGCCTGGTTTAACCCTCTCCAGGATGAACCTGTTTGTTCTCCTAGCAGTCCATAGTATATTCAACACTCTTCTCCAGCACCACAGCTCAAAGGCATCAATCTCCTTCTATCATCCCTTGTCATTGTCCAGCTTTTTGACACATAACAAGTAATTGCAAAGACTATGGCCTGGATCAGGTGCACTTTAGTCTCCAGACTGATATCCTTGCTCTTCAGTACTCTGGAAAGGTTCCTGACATCCGACTTTCCCAGTGCAACTCATCTTTTGTTTTCCTGGCTGCTGATACAAAGAGTGTTGATTATGGAGCCAAGCAAACTGATTTTGATAATGCTTTTTATCTGGTAAAACATTTTGTTTGTACTGAGCCAATTGGCAATATCATGATAGAAAGTGAAGAGACTGAAATTGTTAACAGCTTTAGTTTGCTTGGCTCCACAATCAACATGCTTGGCACCAGCAGCCAGGAAATTAAAAGACGTATTACTTTGGGGAAACTATGCTGTCAGAGACCTCTCCAATGTATTGAAGAGTAACAATGTTGGTCTGGATTCTAACATGTGCCTGATACAGGCCATAGTTCTTACAATCACTTGCTATGCATCAGAGAGCTGGACAATGACTAGGAATGGTAGAAGGAAAATTGATGCCTTTGAGCTGTGGTGTTGGAGAAGAGTATTGAATATACCATGAAATGCTAAGAGAACAAACAGGTTAGTCCTGGGGAAGGTGAAACCAGACTGCTCCTTGGAGGTAAGGATTCTGAAGCTTTGTCTGACATACTTTGGACATGTTGTAAAGCAGGGACCAGTCTTGGAGAGGGATGTCATGCTTGGGAGGGTGGAGGGACAGCATAGCATCTCGATGAGATGGCCTGATTCAGTCACTGGGGTAATGGATGTCAGTGTGTCAGAGACAATGAGATTGGCACAACATAGAGCAGGTTTAGGGCTGTTGTACATAGGGCCGCTATGAGTCTCAGGCAACTGGGTGGCACACAACAACAACTAGTTTTCTGAGAGTTTTGTAATCATAAATGTATTTGTAATTGTGTCAACTTGTGTTAAATTTAAAGGTGCATTTTTAATTAGTTAATGTGGTTAATTTTCCAAAAAGAAACGGGCTTCCTATTTTCTGGTGTAGGCCCACACTTTTGCAATGTATCATCTTACTAACCTACTCCTGGATGTAATCTGCTGTTATCCTGATGAGGTGTGTCAAGATGTTTGTGGCTATGATCATAAAACATGCTGCCCTGTTGGTGTAGTCCATAGCATGTTGTGCTGCTAACCAAAGGTCAGGCTTTAATTGTGATCAGAACCCACTAAGTGCCACTTCTCAGGTAAAAGATGGCCAGTCTTATTCCTTTAAGATTTACACAGTGAATGAAAATCCAACTTTACTATAAACTCTTTGTAAAAATTACAATTAAAAGGTAAAAACATTTCCACAGCCAAGGAAAACTAAAGGAGAGTTGCTTGAAGCTGGAACAGACTTGAGGACAGTGAGTGAATTAAGTAACAGTGTGACCTAGTTTGGTACCCTGGTAATTTTGACTAAAAAAATTAGTTTAGAAGTTTCCTATCTTCTATTTTCTGTAAGAGATTGTGTTAAAATGATATTTAAAAAATTCTAGAATGTTCTATCTTATGCTGCACTGGTTCATGCGAAGATTACAGAACTTCTCTAGCTTTCTCCTCTCACATTTTCCTCACACTTTCCAGTTCTTATTGACTTCCTTTCCCAGAGTCCTTTCTTATAGTTTCTGTCACAGCTATAGTTTCCAAGAGGCATCACAGTTTTTACTACTGAGGCCATCACTCTTACAGGGAGGTGAGTTCCCCTCATTTCCATGACTCACAGGAGCCCTTTTTTTCTGGATCTTCTGGGTTTAGCA